CTATATTGTTTAGATGCCTTATTTTCAGGAATTTGAAAGAGTTTTATGAAAGTAAAAAGAAAAGAAAATGAGAAGGATAACTGAGATGAGTCACTGGTATCAACTCTTACGCTGTAATGGTCACATTTCAAACGGAGATACAGCTTTCAGCTAAAAGAATGTTCCCAATATGGTAAACTTCCCAAAGTGGTAAACTCACTTAGGGCCACACTCTTGATCCCAGGCTCAAAAGAAGGGATAGCTAATACTTTTTCTATTTAAATTAGTTCCCCTTTCCCGTTGCTATTTAACCTCAAAGATATTTATAGAGGTCAAAATTAGTCATCTTCTTTCTATGCTTGCTGACATAAATATGTAATTTCTCTACTTACCTTACTAGTCTTTAAACATAGAATTGCTAGAGGTGTAACATTCTTTCTTAGGGATTCATGTAAACACACATAAGATCCAATGTTAAATGGCAGAAAGAAGACAATGCACATACTACATGTTCTTGCCAGCTGTGAACTGTAATCAAACAACAAAGAACCCCTGAGCATCTCTTATCCCCTGCTACTGAAAATATCTAACCAGTTCTTCAACCACCCACCTGTATTGCAGGCAAACACTTTTGGAAGTCCTCCTGATGAGGAGGGGTGTAAGTGAAAAAATGGGGATGAGTTTGGCTCAGAGGTCAACCCACAACACCTATTTTGTGCACTGTATGTACTGTATGTACAAAGAGCTGTTGTTCTTTGGTGTCTGAGCTCAGACGCCTGAACAATACAGAGATCCCTAATCACACTTCACTGCACACAAATGACCTCTCAATTTATTATTCCATCCTCAACATGTACTACTCAGCATATTCAGTGCACCAAGCACATTCTGGAGTTAATGTGAATTAAAGATTAACTGTGACAAACTGCACTTTTCAACCAAGTATCCAAAGGGAAAATGCCAATTAAGCAATGCTGCAGTTCCATGCAGACAAAGCACAGGTTCAATAACAGCTTTCCAAACTACATGGCCAGGAGTAATTTGTAAGCTTTACAACCAGGTTAACTGGATATGGATTCTCCTGTGCTCCCATTTCTGTGTCTGTGTAGTCCCAGAGAGGGTTTCTTATCAAAGCCAGGGTTAATGAACAAATGTGTGGAGTTCTTTCCTCCCTGCAGAGCTATCACACTACCACAGCAGAATACACAAATGAGTTTTGACTGTGAATGTACGCTGACTATCAGAAAGAAACCTACTCTGAAAGATTAGTCTGAGCTCTCAAGAGCATTGGAGGCTTAAGCTGTACATTAGTGTTTAGTATTTCACTAGAACTAGTTAAAAAAAACACCAGATGGAAAATCTTTGCTGCATTTTGGCCCTTCACATGTTTGAGGATTTCGGAAACAACTTATAGGAAATTAAAGGGGATAGGTTGTTGTAGTCTGCAACCGCAGGATCATGTCCAGGGAAGCCACAGGTTCTGGGGACCAGCATGGAACACCAACGAGATGGGCTCCCTGTTCCTGAAACCATTTATTCAACATAGGAACAAACTCAGATCCAGAACAGAGAGCCCTGAACAGAGGCACAGCAGGGGTTTTTGAGGGACAGAACTCTTGAGGGTCTCCACCTTTGAGGGTGGAGTTCAGGGTCAGGGACCACTAGAAACATAACAAGCGAGAAACCCCCCAGGGACTCAAACCCAATCAGAACTCCTGGGCCACCCTTCACGAGGGGTTTGGGGTGGGACAACTTCATCCAGGGCTCACATACCCATCCCCCAACACAGGGGGTCAAAATTCACACACATGGCTTACAGCCATTCCTCTCCTTTAACAATGCTTATCTAAAACTAACTCTTTGCCTCCCCGAGGCACCTCACAACAATAGGTCACAGTAATAGTTGCAGTAAATAGAACCTCAGTCTAGTTCAGTAAACTATATAACCTCTTCTGGTAAGTGTTCAAGTGACACCAAGTCTATTGAAAAACTTCCTTGAAACACATGCAGTTGTGCAACTTCTTTTATGGAACAGACAGCAGATGATAAATTATAACCATAAGCCTAAATCATAACAGTGTCTCTCTTTAAATCCATGATACATTTATTAGAATACCTGTATATTAAAGAAAAAAAAAAAGGTAGCACTAACAAAACCAGAAACAAAAAAAAAGGCATGACTGGGCTGCTGATCTGGTGTTATAGATACATATTATTGGCTTTTCACAAATATGAATGCTATATGTATAATGTTGGAAAACTTTGATGTATTAATATAGTTTCTTTTATTTCTGCTATTGATGAAACAGAAATAGTGATGTAATACATGTATCTATTTCTTAGGTTGTAGTATAGTGTTAAAATAAAGACTGCTTTTGTTCATATAACTCAGAGAATGAAAAGATAGTCAGGAAACCCTCCCTGCATTCCCAAATTATTTTATCCAGATGAAGACAGCAGTGACCGGAGCTCCAAGGGAGAAATTTATTGAACATCTGTTATTGGGGATTCTGAGACTGCAAGGAGCCATGAGAAAGATTGATCTGCTGCAGGGGGGGCGGGAATTGAAACTAAGCAAAGGAACATCTAAACTTAAGAGGAATGTTTGAATCATGCATAGGGATCTATGAATATTCAACAGGTTGGTGTTCTTAAGGAACAATCTTTTGTTAGTACGGTGTGCTCTTGGCTGAATGCTGAGGCACCTGGCTGTATTTATTCATTTTGCTTTATTTCTGTCTCCTAATTGTCTTTTTATTGAACTTTTTAAATTATACCAAATAAGTTGCAGTGGTTTTAAAGTACTAGCTAAAAAATCACTAGAAAAATTTACTTATTTCTTGCTGTGAGATATGGATTAGGAGAAGGGCAAAACAATCTTAAAACTTAAAAGGCATAAAGGAAGTTTATTAACAAAACTACAAGAATAAGAAACCAGAATAAAACCTCCAGAAACCCTTTTCCCCCCACCACCCAATCATTCCCTTGTCCAACTGACAACATAGAGACAAAACCTGGTGGTTAAAATAGTCCCAACTATATAGTAGCTTTTCATCAATCTTTGTAGATTTCTCTTTTGTCAATTTATGGAGAGTTTTTCACAAGAAAACCATTTTCTCATGGTTTTCTATTATTTTCTGATGCCAGCTGCCCGGAAATCTCTGCCATCAGTCCTTTCCTCCCATTTCAAACCACTCTAAGGTGTGTTTATGGGCCATGATTCAAGGGGTGTCATTTTAAGGATGAGCTATTCAAAGGCAAAAGTTCTCTTCATCTGTCTCTGTGATCATCTCTGGAAACAGAAGTTTTCTCTTTGTCTCTTAAGGGCCACAAATCTTCATCAACTCTCACTTCTCCTTTTCTGTTCCAGCACCTCATAGGATCACAACTACTTCATCATTCTCTCAGCTCTATCAATGAACTACCTTTGCTTAGATCCACACTTTGAAATACCTCATCCCCCCAAAATACTCTCATGACTTAAAGGAGTTTTTTCAGAAAAAAAACCCCTTTATTGTCTCCTTTATTGTCCATCTCCACAGTTTTTACAAAAGACTATTTCAGCTTATTAGTGCATCTTCTTATTCTCTTCCCACCTGAGGCTTAATTCCTTTCCTCACTGGCTTTGATAGTTTATGCTGTCTCTTTACATGTTGATCACTCTCTCTCTTCTTCTCTCTCTGGAAAAAGGATTAAATCTGCAAGTCTCATCTGGGTAGTGAAAGGGTTAAAATCTTGCTCAAGCTGCAGTTATTCAGGGTATCAGGTTTCAGCTCAGCTGAGCTCAGAGCTGGGGACCCCCCTGGGAAAAGCTTCAGCCACTCCGGAGGCTTCCCAGGAGGCTGCAGCAGAGCCCGGCCTGGCCTGGGCCCGGGAGAAGCCCCACAGACCCCATCTCCTGCCCAGGAGCCACGGCAGGCCCAGCCCAGCCCCTGCCCAGGCCACATGGCCTGGAGAGGGGTTGGGAGCCAGCTGGAGTTCTGCTACCTTTCAAAACCGGAAACCAAAGAGAAAGAGAAATTCCCAGGCTTCGGTTTTAAAGGGTGGTGTTCACAGGTTGATCTCACTTTCCAATGGTCAAAACTACTGCCAGTTCTCAGAAATGGCCAGTTATTGGCCAGGAGAAAAACTCCCATCAGCCTCCAGCAGCCTTAACTTCCTTAGGTGTTTCCTACTTTTTTCTTAAATGCCAGTCTATCACAGAAATGAACCTCTTTTTTTCACACTGAGCAATAGGATGAAGGAATGAGTAAAAAAAATCTCTCTTTTGAGAATATTTTTTCTAGTAAGCTTGTGAAGTAGACAGCTCATGAATGCCAGGTTGATTTGGAGTGACATACATTGTTGAGGGGTAAATGGATAATTTCCACAAAGGGATCAAAATTACCCTTGAACTGACAGCTGTAAATTAAAGACTGAGAATAACCCTTGTATTTTCAGTGCTCACATACTTCGTCCTTTCCTATGATTTCCTTTTTAGCATATGCCTCATATATCTCATGGTGGGTCATGAACACCCAAAAGTGTATGCAGTGCTGTACTTAGTAGGAAGAGTAACTTAAAAAATTCCATTTCTAGACTGGATTTTTACAGGATCAAAATTCTTATGAAAACTCATTTAATTTTATACCTATATTTCTCTAGAAAATTTTAATTAAATTGAATAAAAATAGATGTTAGATAGTTTTTATTCAGAATTGTTTAGCAACATGCTTTTGGGGGTTAGATGTCCTTCTCACCTATAGAATTTCCTCCATTAGTTGCAGGGAAACCTGGCTGCTGATACTTATTAGGTGCTTGAGAAGGCAATGAGTTTGGCTGGACCCAGGGGAAAGGGGGGCAGGTAAAACGGGAGGGCAGAGGCAGCTGCTGGAGGGGCTCTCTTCTTCAGCTTCAGAGCAGGACACACTCAGAACTCTTGTTGCTTGGGGAAAGGAATTTGCCATAACCCAGAGGGAGCTGCTGCTGCTGCTGCTGCTTCTTCTTCTTCTTCTTCTTCTTCTTCTTCTTCTTCTTCTTCTTCTTCTTCTTCTTCTTCTTCTTCTTCTTCTTCTTCTTCTTCTTCTTCTTCTTCTTCTTCTTCTTCTTCTTCTTCTTCTTCTTCTTCTTCTTCTTCTTCTTCTTCTTCTTCTTCTTCTTCTTCTTCTTCTTCTTCTTCTTCTTCTTCTTCTTCTTCTTCTTCTTCTTCTTCTTCTTTGTCTTCTTCTTCTTCGTCTTCTTCTTCGTCTTCTTCTTTTTCTTCTTCATCTTCATCTTCTTCATCTTCTTCTTCTTCGTCTTCTTCATCTTCTTCATCTTCGTCTTCTTCGTCTTTGTTTTCTTCTTCGTCTTCGTTTTCTTTGTCTTCTTCTTCTTCTTTGTCTTCTTCTTCTTCATCTTCTTCGTCTTCTTCTTCTTCTTCGTGTTCATCTTCATCTTCTTCTTTTTCTTCTTCGTCTTCATCTTCTTCTTCATCTTCTTCTTCTTCTTCGTCTTCTTCGTCTTCGTTTTCTCCTTCTTCTTCTTCTTCTTCTTCTTCTTTCTCTTCTTCTTCTTCGTCTTCTTCTTCTTCGTCTTCTTCGTCTTCTTCTTCTTCGTCTTCTTCGTCTTCTTTTTCGTCTTCTTCTTCTTCGCCTTCTTCGTCTTCTTTGTCTTCTTCTTTGTCTTCTTCTTCGTCTTCTTCTTCTTCTTCGTCTTCATCTTCATCTTCTTCGTCTTCTTCGTCTTCTTCGTCTTCTTCTTCTTCTTCGTCTTCATCTTCGTCTTCTTCTTCTTCGTCTTCGTCTTCTTGATCTTCTTCTTCTTCTTTGTCTTCTTCGTCTTCGTCTTCTTCTTCGTCTTCGTCTTCGTTTTCTTCTTCTTCTTCTTCTTCTTCTTCTTC